TTGCAGGAAATCTGGCATTTTAAACGAAATGTTGGACGTAATATTGATATATCTACGTGAATTACGTAATTTATATGCTATTTAGTCGTATAAAAACTGCAAAATGACTCAAAATTAAAATAAGACTACTATGCGATTGATGTAAACATCCAATGCTTATGTTTTCATCAGGTAAACATGCTTCATATGCATATGCAAATAAACATATTGCACAAAAGCTTTTACTTTTATTTCACACCAAAGCTACACTGTTTCCATGTACATTTGCAAAGAAGCAACACGGTGCCACTGCTAAGGGAGCGGTGCGAGAGAGACAGCTGTCAGTTTATCGAACCTTGTATTAGGAGCGTTCCTTATCTCCCAGAAATAGTCAGAAAAAGGCCGAAGTAGTTAGATTCATGATGCAATAATACAAGGTGGTATCAGTTGTGACAGCTCGATTTGACACTGCCTTAGCTCAGTAGAATAAGAAAAAAAACGGGTAGAAATGAATCCCCATTTGGGGGAAAAATATAAAATTTCATATTTTCTTCTAAACAAAATTTGCTTTTTTATAGTATATTCGCAATGAAATTAAATAAAATAAGATATAATACCTTTTTGAGAAAACAAATTGTGTATACTTAGAAAAAAAAAAAATGCAACTATATTATTAGGCAAAGAATTGTTAAAGAAGTAACACTGTTTCAGCTAAGGCAGTCAATATGGCGGAATAAGAGCGAGAAGTTGCCAACTGATAACACCTTGTATTATTGCATCATGAGTCAGATTTAGTCCAAAAAGCGTTCCTTAACTCGGAAATGACAGCAAAAATGAGAGAGCAACACTCAGTGAGAGTGACTCTCATCAGTCCGAAGTAGTCTGATTTAGTCAGAATTTTTGCTGGCAAAATCTTGAAAAGTGTCAAACTCAACTGAATTTAAATTAACGGAAATTAAAGAATACGCAAAAAGTGAGAATAATCTAAAAAGTAAAAAAAAAAACTGAATTGAGATCGGAAGGAGGCAAAAAATAATTGATATAGTAAGTGTTTATGTGCTTGTGCTTGTGTGAATGTGTTTTGTACACATGATTCAATAATAAAAGGTTTGCTCAAAAAGCAGTTTTCTCGCTCCCTCTTGACAAAAGGTTCATTCCTTATCTTTTTGGACTAAAATCTGAAAAGTGTCAAAATGCCAGAGCGTAAGCAAAATGCGCTCACTAAAAGAGAGTAACAGGAAAAGTAAAGGAACGCAAAAAACCAAATTTTTTGTCCAAAGAATGGCAACAACAAAACTATCGTCAAATAAGAACAGAAATGTATGTACAAAACACATTCACACAAGCACAAGCACAATAAACACTTGCTATATCAATTATTTTTTGCCTCCTTCCAATTTCAATTCATTTCTTTTACTTTTTAGATTATTCTCACTTTTTGCGTATTCTTTAATTTCCGTTAATTTAAATTCAGTTGAGTTTGACACTTTTCAGGATTTTGCCAGAAAAAATTCTTCTGACTAAATCTGACTACTTCGGACTGATGAGAGTCGCTCTCACTGACTTTTGCTCTCTCATTTTTGCTGTCATTTCCGAGTTAAGGAACGCTTTTTGGACTAAATCTGACTACTTCGGACTTTTTCTGACTATTTCTGGGAGATAAGGAACGCTCCTAAAATCGGCTCCCTTAGCAAAGCACTGTTTGTGGGTTCGTGTGTGTGTGCAAAGCTTTTGTAAGGCAGCTAAGGGAGTGTCAAATGAACCTATTATTGAATCATGAGTATGAGTTGAGTGTACAAAATTCCAAGAAATGTAAAATGTATCCTATTTTAGAAATAAACGTCTTTCACCATACACGCCTGGTAAACGTTTATTTCAATAGCCCTTCTCAGTCACGATACTACACTGCTCATATTTCATACAAAAACTCCTTGCGCATTTTCACCACTTCATTGGTATCTTCCTTTTTTGTAAAACAAAACAGGCAGTTCATACCAAATAAAAAAATTTAGAGAAAAATCCTAATTTTTTATTATTCCTCTGTTAAAATTTGAATTATTTAAATTTTTTTCGTCAAAAAAAGCAAAATATCAGGGATTATTAATTAGTTTTTCAGATACTATCAAGCATCGTATATACTTACAAGTATGGAATCCTATGCCCCTTTTTGTCTATTCTCTTTCTAACAGCGGACGTGCATGCCAAACTGAAAAGCATGATGGCGGCAGTGTCTGACAGGCACGTTCGACGATGTGAACGGCAATGGAAGGTAAGAAATGGAAGATGGATGACATGAGAATGAAAGAATTATGAAATACCAGAATGTCGAACCAAAACGAATTTCAAAAATCTGACAATGCGAATGACGTCAAAATGAAAGAAATGCAAAATACCGAAATGTCGAAACAGAAGAAATAGATAACAGCCACGTGTTCAAGGGTTTCGTGCAACAAAAAGAGTTGTTGTGTTGCGCCATTCAATATTAAAAAAAAAGTAATGTGATTAAATACGCTTTTCTATTAAGTTGAAAAATTACATATTTCGCCAGCCAAAAAGTATATAAATAAATATATAGCATATTGCTATACGATTTATTTATAAAAACGGTATATGCTTATGACCTTATTCATAAAAAAGAAAATAGATGTAAAGTAACATTAAAAAAATTGATTTGCTTACTTTTTAAGAATTTGGGAAAAACATTTAACTAAAGTTTTTGTGCACCCATCTCTTTTTCTGTTTATTATTTTGAAATTTTTCTTTTCCTTAATACTCATTGAGTTTTCATTTACACCCAGCAAAAATCAAAATATTTTATAAGAAATTTTGTTGACCGTTTCTCGCACACTTCTTTCATGCTTTTTTATCGTAGTTTTTATTCTGTTGACATCTAAATTGCCATAAATTTTATGTTGTTGCCAATACATTGTTTTCCGGCGTTTCCTCTGTGAACTTTTATAGCTACATTCATAAAAATATTACTAATTTTCGTTTATAATTTTTTTCCATCTTGTTATTGCTGAATATCAAAAAGGAATTAATAAATAATAAAAAGTTAGTTAATATTTTAGTGAATGGTTCTTGCAAATAATATTATTTTATGGTTGAAATGACTTGATCGCCGTCAGGAGCTTATCAACTTTTTTGCCAAAACCAAAGCAGACGGGAAGGAAAAATAGTTGTTCATTAACGATTTGTCTGAAATATCGTTATTGAAACGCGTTACTGCTCACTAAATTTGTAAAAATAAAATTTTTTCACTTGTTATATTCTTCCTCATTGTGGTAAATTTACTCATCATCACAGCAGGGCGCAATCTTCTTTTCTATGATTATTGTATCGCTACTTTGAATTTCTCAATTTTGACAATTCTGATCTAAAGGTAAACGAAACCTCAGAAACTTTAAATGCACTGAAATTCACTAATACCCACTTCCGCAAAAATCGCCTTATTTCGTATTTCCTTATTAATAAAAAATAAAAATTTTAAAAAGCTTTTTAAATTGCCGTTTACAAACATTTTTCAATTTATAGGCCTTTTTTAAGCTACTTTATTGTTTATGAATAAGGCTATTACAAATTAGCACAATCAAAACACGTTCCTTATCGAAAAATGTATTATTAAGAAAATTTGCTGTTCTCACATTTTCTTTCAACATCCAATTCGACTTTTATTACTTTTTGTACAGATATGTCATCGCCGCCAGGACGGCGCTCTATCTTTCTTGTCAAATATGCATTTAGATCTAACTGTCATACTACTATTAATGGTAACCATGAATATTCATTAAAATCGTTTCAATTCGGAATAAAAGTAATTTACATACTGCTAGTGTAAATATATTTTTTAATATAAACTACCTTTTTTAATTCTAAAATAAATCAACAATCTCAATATTTATAAGAAAATTGTCTTCAAAAAATACGCCCCAAATCATCCCTGTTGATATCATAATTCAAATGCAAATTAGAATAGAAATTTTGATACAAAAGTTTTTCCGCGATATTCATCATACAAATTTATCATCTTACTTGTCCGTATGTCGCTCTGGAAAGAAATATATTTTAACTGATATGTTTTCTTGAAAATAAATGCAAATTTACCTATTTTTTCCACCGGCAGGCACGAATATGATATTCAAAACAGAAGCAATGACAACGAATTTTACACACATTGTTGTATTTTAGCGCAAAACGATAAGTTTCACAAATATTTTAAATTATTGCCTGGAACATACACATTTATCGTTATTATTGGAAATGCAAGACTTGGCACGCATTTTTAATTTCTTTTTTATTGTTCAATTAGTTCGAAAGATACACGTGATTAACCACTCCATGATAAAAACATAACAAGGTAAACCCATTGAGAGGCAGTCTGACGTTTGCCAACAATATAATTTTAAAATTCAAAACTCAAACTCACACAACAATTGTGAACAATTTAATTTTTTATTTTCAATTTTATATGATTTTAAAATGTTGGCAAACGTCAGAAAAAAATTATAGCCGACGAATTGAGAGAATGAATTTACCTTGTAATGTTTTTTTTTTAATTTTTGAATTTCGACATTGCTGTTTCGACATTTTTATTTTCGACTTATCGTACGAATCCCGAAGGATGGCCAAATGTGGTTCTTCGTGGGCTACCGAAAACTAAGTTATGTGAAGAAGAAGGAAAGCTATCCATTGCCCAGGATTCATGATACCGTTGGAATTGACTGGCAGGAAATAGTACTCAACGCTCGACCTTAAAAGCGGTTATTGTATTAAAGAAGACAGCCTTTGGCTTTGTAGAAGGTCTGTGGTAATTCACAGTGCTGCCCTTTAGATTATGCAACGTTCTTGCCACATTTGATAGACTAATGGATCAGCCCCGCCCACATCAGTTAATATCTCTGTCGTTGTCGTCAAGTCCCACTAACGGCAGCCCTAAGTAGCGTGCAGCCTCAATAGGGTCGGTCCACAGGGACAAAGACGTTAGGGTTGTCCGGCTAGTGTGGTTCTAGTGTCCCAGGGCAGATGAAGCTCCGCCCCTTCGATGTCCGGTGGTTGTGCGCCTAGATTAGCGATTATCCCTTGCTGCTATTTGCTGTAGTTTAAGTAAAATTTCTTCAGCTGGGTTTGTGCAGCTTTTTTTTGGCTTATATATTTTTTTATAGAAATCGTATTTTTAATCCGTCATTATTGCACGGCCTGTAACTTTGGGCATCTTCTTATTCGTCGAATCTTCAAGTTCCTTTGCTTTATAGTAATGCGGCGCCACTTCCAACAGCCACTTACTATCGATTTCGATCACCTGACGCATATACTCTTTCGTTGTAAACACTAATTCATGGTACAGCACCCATCTTGGCAGTTCTTCAAAAAGCGACGAATTTGGATGAATCATTACAGTTTGATTGTGTTTTACGGTTTTATAATTGCCATTTTTAGACAATTTTGCAACATGATAGAAGTATCCAGCTGTTATGGCTTTTCTTACATTTACTGTCTCAGGCAAGCAGGAAACTATATCGATTTCAACACGTTGCATCAAACCCACCAATTGTTCACGAACATCGCGAGCTCGTTTCATGGAGCGATACTGAATGAAATTCTCGTAACACCATTGTGTGCTATAATCGGTATCAACCCATTGATTGTAGACCTGCAGCAGACTTAGATGATCACCATGCATGTGGTCGAAATTCTTTCGAGCAGTATCTGCATGAATAATTTTGTCTTTTGGTCGGTAGAAAATCGCGCTGTTTACAGATAACATTGCAGCTATGGACACCAATTCTTCCGAGCACTTATACCTAAAAATACAGTATTTTAAAAATATTTGTAAAGCCTTTACGTTTACTAATTACTTCTCGCTCGCCAATAGCATTTTCCCCATCATGGGATCCACTGGAAACTCTGCCATTCGTCTACCCAATTTCGTCAGTTCGCCATGATGATTTAAAGCACCCAGTGCGTAGAGCTGTTCCAAGGCTAAAACCAGCGTTTCATGTGGAGGAGGGTCTAAGAAGTCAAAGTGTATCAGATCATTTATACCGAGTGCCTTTAGCATTAGCACCGCATTTCCAAGATTTATGCGCTGAATTTCAGGCACAGTGTTATCTTCCAATTCATGCTTATAAGCCCAAGCTGTATAAAGACGAAAGCATTTGCCAGGAGCGGTGCGCCCAGCACGTCCAGCTCGCTGATTCGCCGACGCTTTAGAAATTGGTACGACCATCAATGATTCCATGCCAGTGCGGGAATTAAAATTATTTTGCTTTGCAAATCCCGGATCGATCACATAGATAATGTTGTCAATTGTTAGTGAAGTTTCCGCTATATTAGTTGCCAATACTACTTTCCTGGCATTTGGCGGCGTTGGTTCAAAAATTTTCGCCTGCATGTCACTGGGTAGATTTGCGTATACAGGTATTATAACTAGTTCACGTATCTTTGAGCCAAGCCGTTTTACGCGATCTTGCAAAACTTCTTGACAGGTTTCTATCTCATCTTGACCTGTTAGAAAGACTAATACATCTCCAAGAGGTTGTGTGGCATGTATTTGTAAAACCGAAACGCAACACGCATCGATATAATCTGCTTCAGGAGCTTTCGTATAGAATATGTTGACCTTTAAAATAATTTGTAGTACAAAAAATATTGTTTATATGGATACAGAAACTAATCTGCAATTAGGATTTTTTATTACTTACCGGATATCTACGGCCAGGTATGCGAAATATCGGCGCATCGTCGAAAAACTTTGAAAACTTTTCAGCATCTAATGTTGCACTGGATATAAGAAGTTTTAGTTCTGGTCGAAAACGCGCTATGTCTTTTACTAAACCAAACAATATGTCTGTATGCAAAGTACGCTCATGAGCTTCGTCAATGATCATAACGCTATAGGATGCAAGATCAGGTTCCGAAAGAAACTCTCTGTGTAATGTACCATCAGTCATGTACTTTAGTACTGTACGTTCTGAAAGGATAATTATAAGCTTTAGCAAGCAAGCCACAAATCAGCAGTGTTATAAATTTATACCTGAAGAACAATCTTCGAAACGAATACTGTATCCAACTTCATTTCCGAGCTTTACGCCCATTTCTTCAGCGACACGTGCAGCTACGGACATAGCAGCAACACGTCTAGGCTGAGTGCACCCAATTTTCTTTTTATCTTTTGTAAAGCCAGCTTCCACCAAGTATTGAGGGATTTGCGTTGTTTTCCCAGACCCAGTTTCTCCCTCAATTATTAAAATCTAAATATAAAAAGTAAATTAAAACGATTGCTTTTCTTAAGTTTGATAAAAATTATTTTATACCTGATGCTTTCTCACAGCCTCTATTAAGTCCTCTTTAAAAGGGTATACAGGAAGAGATTTTTGCGTTTCTTCTATTGTCATTCGTTTCCGTTCAGCTTCAGATATATCATCTTTCTTTGAAGAACTATCTTTAGAACCGTCCATAGTAAGCGCTTGTATGAACTCAATTTGATCTTCCAGCAAGAGTTCATACTCTTCTTTTATTTTTGCATCCTTGGACCCAAATTGAAATCTCGCGGATGCTAGCTGCTCAACTTCCCATTTTTTTTGCTCTGAGTGTGGCTGTTTTTCCAATTCATCCACTTCGACATATTCCTCTTAAAATATTATGTACAGATTTAGTGAAAATCAGTAGTTTTAAGTAATAAAAAACACAAAATCTGTTGATATTTACCTTTTTCACCCTTTTTTAAGTTTTGCGGAATATGGTACCTCTGAATTCGCTCCAGCTCCCGCGCCTTTTCATGCTCTTTCGCAATTTGTAGCAATTGTTTTTTGTACTCCCGTTCCTCTCTTTCCCGAGTGGTTAAACTAAATCGATATGTTTAATTATATGTGGGTGTTTATGTACATCTGCATGGTTATCTAGTTATGTGATTACATTTTTTATTCAGTACACTACAGAATCACATTTTTTTTAACCAGATAACCAGACAAGTGTGAGTATCCGTTATGTAAATAAGAATATTGATTCAAATTCACTTTGAATACTTACATTTTCTCATCGAATAAGTATTCATCATCCACAATATCTGCCTCTAGTTCAGCTACTTTATCCTCCTTCCGTTTCTCAAGATACTTTCGACGAGACTGCACTCGAAGCTGTGGTAGAATTTTGTCCCGATCTTCATGTTCGAGCTTTAACCGCTTGGTTGCCTCCTCAATGGCTTTTCGGCTAGCGCTGGATTCAAGTACCTTGCGCACGTTTCCTTCATCCCGCTGCTTCAGGCGCTTTGCAAATTCATCACGTTCTTTTAGATCCTTTAATCTGTCCTCCTCTTCGCTGTCCAATTCCTCAGAGCTGGAGCTTGCTGCCCTTTTATTATTCTTCGACATGACTGATTTTTATGAATTTATATTGCTTATCAGAGGCTAGAAGTATTATCAAGAAAAAAAAAACTAAATTGAATTTGGTAAAACCTTGACGACCTACCGTTTGTTTACCACAATTAATGTAAATATTGGAAGTAGGTATGCAGAAAAAATATCGAAAACATGGATTTTTGCCAAGAACGATAGAATACAGTTCATTAAGCTGAAATTAGTCAAGAACGTAAACCTACCGGTACGTAAAACCGAGTCAGCTGACACGATCTGTCTAACCAAAGCGCCATGTAAATGAAAACTCAACACCGCAGAATTTTTCTCTAGTTGTAGCCCGTAGCGCAGAAATCTGCGGAATTTAGATTTTTCCGTGTCAGCTGATTTCTCCTTCTTTAGATGGTTGCCACTTCGTCAGTTTTACAGATGGTAAAAAGGTTATAAGTTCCTATTCAAAATTTTTTTTTAATATTTATTATTATTATTTATTTATTTAATCAAATGGATTAAATCCTTACTGACTATAAAACAAGAGAGCTTATATACTACCTAAAATAATTAAGTAGGACAAAACGAACTGTTCCAAATGAGAGAGACGGGTCATATTCAGAGAGCTCATTTAGCTCAGAAAGGGTTCTGAACAAAGGCGAGAATTTTACATAGTTAGATTTAGGAAATCCCAGGTAGAATAAAGAAACACGACGCAAATTATGAGACGGGACGTTTAATGCTAACTTATCCAAAAGATTAGGACAATCGACTGTGCCCTCCAATATTTTGGCCACAAAAGAGGCTGCTAGGAAAGAACGCCTAGTATTTAACGAACTTAAGTTAATAAGTTGACAACGGGAAGTATACGGAGGTATAGGCTCAGAAAATTTTAGAGAACGCAAGGCAAATTTAATAAAAACTTTTTGAATCTTCTCAATCCGGTTTATATAGACAGCCTGATAGGGACGCCAAATGAAAGACGCATACTCAAGCCTAGATCTCACTAACGTGACATAAAGAAGCTTCAGAGTATAGGGATCCTTAAACAACTGACCATTACGACGTACGAATGCTAGCATTGCATAAGCTTTGGAAACTACGTAGTTAATATGGGTTGCGAAGGTTAATTTTGAGTCGAAGTAAATCCCTAAGTCTTTAACCTCTGCGACATAACTAAGTTCATGGCCCCCAATATTGTAATTAGTTTGAACGGTAAGAAGCTTTCTGGTGAAAGTGGAGTAGGAACATTTACTAACATTTAAAGATAAGGAATTAAGAGAGCACCAAGAATGCAGGTTATTAAGCTCAGCTTGCAGCAAAAGAGAGTCTTGTGAGGTTCTGATTACTGAGTAAACCTTTAGATCGTCAGCATATAATAAATACTTAGAAGACTGGAAGCATGATCCAATATCATTTATGAATAAGACAAATAAAAGAGGGCCCAAGATACTGCCTTGGGGAACACCCGACGTAGCTACAAAGGGAGTGGAGAGTATGTTATCAAAAGCAACTGTACAACACCTATCGGACAGATAGGAATTAATCCATTCCAGAAAAGTTGAGTGAAAACCCAATCGCGATAACTTGTTAATTAAGACTTTATGCGAAACTCTATCGAACGCCTTCGAAAAGTCTGTGTACACAGCGTCCACTTGTAGACCTGACTGCATCGCAGCGACACAGTCCTCCATGAATGTAGCAAGGTTGGAGACAGTTGACCTCCCACTAACAAACCCGTGCTGGTAAGGGCAAATTAAACTTTTCACTGCGAAGTTGAGCTTCTGTTTGACAACTGATTCCAAAACTTTTGGGACAGTGCCCAGTTTGGAAATAGGCCTATAATTCGAAACGTCGTTTTTGTTCCCACTTTTGTAGATTGGTGTAATGAAAGCTTTTTTCCAGTCGTCAATAAAGTAGCCAGACGAAAGAGATTTATTGAACAATATTGTTAATGGCTGAACAAGCGATGGGCACCGTTTGAGCATAGCACCTGAGAGGCCATCAGAATCCAATTTAAAAGAGTGCTTTATGGAGCAGATGGCTACTTCTACATCACTTTCGGAAATATGCAGTGCGCCTAAGTTAAGGGCAGAATCTGAAAGAGGGTACCGTTCAGAAGCAACATTAGAATCCGAGACATAATTGGAGGAGAAAAATTCTGCGAATAGATTGGCTACGTCAGCAGGTGTGTTGGCCTCCTTGTCATTCAAAAAGACTGAGGACGGCACACTCGACTTAGCGTTCTTAGATTTTACAAACCTCCAAAATGCTTTAGGGTTGTTTTTAATGTCTGCTTCACTTTTACTAATGAACTTATTATAGAGAATCTTGTCCAAGGCATTAAAGCTCCTAAGGCAGTACTGATAACTGACGAACACAGATTGGGACCTAGTTGCCCTAAATCTTTTAAAAAGCCTATTTTTACGATTTTTGAGTCGTTTTAGATCCTTATTGTACCATGGTAACTTATACAACTTCCTCGTAATTAAAGGCACTATTTCTACACACGCCTCATATATACTACTTTTAAAAACATTGTATGCAGCGTTAGCATTTGAAATTTACTATTGAATAAGGATTTTGTTGAAAACTAAGTAGTTTATATTTAGCTAAAATCTATTATAGCACGAAAAATTATAGTTGAAAGGGTAAGTTTATAAAAAGGCATTGATGAGTGGCAACAGTGGTGTAAGCAACACTGAGGGCTCCAGTAATCGACAAAATTCTGCGTATACAGACTGCGTTTAAGTATACGTTCTGCGTTCTCGACTAATTTCAGCTTTACACCATGGATTTTTGCTATAGTTGCGTTCCAGATGCTTCACGATATTCACGCTCAGTGTTGCCGCGCCGTCCCAAGAAAATGTATCACCGACCAAGCCAAAAATGTATCCAAATGTATCCATTTTTCTTTTTTACGTATCCATCTCATAATTTGTAAGAAAACCAAACATTTTCAAGAAAAATTTAACCCATCCTAAGGACCTGGAAAACGTGTATATATATTTTTATTTTTCATAAAATCAAACACTTGTTATTTCAATTTATCAATAATATTTTGTATGCATAAGTATTTTGTAAAGTAAGTGTAATAAATAGTAATTAATATGTTACATTTGTACCTGTACACTCTAAGAATTGTGTGTAAAACTGCTAGTGAGAAGTATCTATTTTTCAACAGGAATCTGTATAAATATACATACGTATAAGATGTTCAGAATTTGATTTTGAACTTGAGATCTTTAAAATATACACATGAAATGTTTAAAGTTGCCAAAAAATTTTAAACTAAAAATACATTTCCTACAAATAATAAACATTAGGGGCTTACATTTACTCTATTTTAAACATTTTATGTGTTGTTTTGCTCTCTGAGACAAATTTGGTATGTTAAAGTAAACAGGCAGTGTTTAATTTTATTACGCGGTGTGCCAATTTGCACACATTAAAAGAGGAAAATAGTTACCTCTCTTAGGTCCGGTTTTTCAGTGCCAGTTTAAACTTAGATTAAGTAAACTGAGTTTAAATTGAACAGCTGACTGGCATTTGATTGGCTGATCTTAGTTTAAACCAGCCAGATCGGGCGTTTAAACTTAGTGTAAACCACGGCCGTGCACTGAAAAACTGGCTCTTAATACCAGAGTGTATTTAAAGTATTTTCAGTAAAATTCATAAAAATTTCCCTAAATAAATCAAATTTTGTTTTTTAAACAGTGTATTTAAACTACATTGAGATCTTCTTTCTTTTTAAATTAACAAATGAAAATATGTGATATGAAAGAGATATATTTACTTTATATATGTATATATTAAGATCTTGCTTAAAGCAAGATCTCTTCATATGTTCATTGCTTCGTTCACAAAAAATAAAATGCTCTAATTTCACGCTTAACTAGCGATTTTTAAAACATTTAAAAAACGTCATTAATGAAAATCGAGTTTTTAATGAAAAAAAGTATAGAAAATATAAAATTTTAGCCTATTTAAAAAAGTATCCACATTTATACTGATCGGAAAAAATAAGTATCCCGCAAAAATTCGTCTAAAAATGTATCCAATTGGATCTATTTAGATCCAAACGGCATCCCTGTTCACGATTTGTAGGAACAGCTGTTTTCTCCATTAATAAACCTTATGGGAGGTGGTCACCTGGAACGACTTCCGGTAAAAACCTGCAAATCGTGAAGCATCTGGAACGCAACTTATTCGATCCATCGAACAAAACCGATGTTTTGGACCTTCCGATATATATCGATGTATTTTTTCGATACATCGACTTTTGTGTGCAATGTACACTGAACGTTTACAATTTTTTTGGGGTACTCTTTATGAATTTGTACAACGATTTTGGGTTGCTGTGCCCAAATGCGCAAATCGAATCCAAAACCTTTTACACACACTTGTAGACAACAGTTCACGCTTTATTACAAAAATAAAATTTACTATATCTGTGCACTAATTTATTAATAATGTCGGTTGGAAATATGGTATTTCTTGCAAGGTTCCGAAGTGAGCTGTCAAAAAAAAAATGTCCACGAATTATCTCTGCAAAAGGTGTTCAGCCCCTCTGGGAAATGTTTAGTTATTGGCTATCGTTTTTGGGGTGGGAGGCGGAGGGGGAGTAGCGTGGCCCCCCAAACCCCCCTCATTCGAAAGGGGACAGTCGCCACTTTATGTTGTAACAAGTCGAATAAAGTTTAAAGTGAAGGGGAATATAAAAATGCATTGGTGAAGTGGCTGCTTTAAGGAAAATAGAAGTGATAAATATACGCTAATTTCCGAATTTTACAAAAAGCATATTTCAAACCCAATTTGTAAATAAATTAGTTACCAAAAATTACAACAGTGGATGTTAAAATAATGGGTAGACCCTTGGCTACAAGTGTGTGCAATTTTTTTTTGGATCGGGTCACCCCTTTGGACGCAATAGCCCGAATAGAAAGGAGAATTGTACTTAGTTATTATCCCTAAGCGCGGCCGAAGGCCGCCTACGCAGAAAGGTATTCTCTGCAAAAGGTGTTTAGCCCCCCTTCTTTGGCAACACAGAAAGGAGGATTCTACTGCCTGAGGGTAGTCTAAGGTGAGTCTAAGTGCGGCCGAAGGCCGCCCATGAACCAATTAGAACAGATCTGACTGGTTGAGAAGCGACCATTTGTAATAGCAATTGAGAAAAAAATGTGTGACGTTCGTAATTTTGAGGTTTGCTATTTTT